GCGATCCTTCCGCCTCAGCCTTCCAAGTAGCTGGAACTACAGGCGGATGCTACCACACCCGGCTAATTTTTTGATTTATTGTAGAGATGAGGTCTCGCCAAGTTGCCCAGGTGGGTCTCGAACCCGCAGGCTCAGGCAATCCATTCACCTCAGCCTCCCAAAGGCATGGGATTTCAGGCTGAGCCACCAAGCCCGGCTGTCAATTCTTTCAATAAGCCCACATCGTTTTCCCTGTGGGCACTCACTGAAAGTTTTGCCAGAATGGGTCAAAAACGATGGTTCTTCGAAATACTGCCTGCTCTTTTCTGAAGTGCATGGGTTTGGGGGATAATTGGAATGAAGACTGGCCTGAGGCAGAGAGAAGAAAGAGAAATAAATGCCTTCTGGGCCCCTTCCAACATTACAGTTCTATGAATTTTACCTAATTAAATCAATTAAAGTGGGTAACAGACTTAAAGACTTTGGATAATTATCTTTTTCCCCACAGTAGCTTTTGGAGAAATTCAATATTCTTGAATTGATGAATCATTTTAAATCATGTCTCAACAAGGCCATGAGCTCCTCAAGGGCAGAGATTGTGTCATCCTCATCTTTCTGTCCCCAGAACCTGGCAGAAGGCTTGGCACATGACACATCCATAAACGGATGATGAGGGAATGGAAGTGTGAATGAAGCTGAAGAGGAATGTCCTTGGTTTAAACAGAAAGGGAAGCAGGAGAATTCAGTATCTGAGATTGTATTTGGTGTGGATTGCAAATGTCATGTCCAGTGTCATCACTGACACCCAACAACCCTGAGGAACCACTCCTCCATTCAACACCCAAAATATATTTCAGAGTGTCCTTTATTGATAAGAAGGAGAATTTAGAAGTCTGATAAGCCTCAGCAGTTGTCCACAGAACCTCATTAAATACCAAGAAATGCAACAACATAAAGAACCCACCAACAGAGGGCAGCACAGAAGTAAAGGCTAAAGGCAGTTACGTTCACCAGCCTCATGCACCATCAGACACACTTGGGATGGGACTGAAATGTTCCAGATTTAATCACAACAGAAATGTAAAAACTCCCCTGGCACAATGATGCCCCTGAGGAAACTGAGCCCCAGAGCTACATTATCACTGCAAAGGCAATAGGTTGGCATCTTCTTGCACTGAGTACACAAGGGATAGAGAAAGTTCTCAACAGGACACATGCTAAGGGCACATGTGGAAGCCAATAACAATGGTCTACGAGACATTTTACTGGGATCATTGGTATTGATGGAGAGGTGGAAGTCAAACATGCCAGATAATGATGGAGCTTGGGATCCTTCAATGCCCTTGCTCCATGCTCTCTGAGCTGGACATATCCAGTGTAGCCAGGAGCTGGACGTGACTGTGTGCACAGAACAGAGCTGTAAGCAAATGCAGACTTATTTGGTTCTCCACATGCAGAGGAGGGCACGACTATCTTGAGAACTTCGTGAAGGAGAAAGCTCATCATAGGGACAGCAGTTCATCGGCCCAGAGCCAGCTCAGCCCAGGCCATCTGTGAAAGTGTGTGCAAAATCCCTTGCCTTGTGCTGTCTGCACTCCCTGTTTTACAATTCTGAATTACTCCCATTATCCTCTGTTCTGATCCCTACTAACAGCCTATCCCCGGGATAAAAAGGAGAATATAGAAGTCTGATAAGCCTCAGAGAATAGTGTAATTTGGGGGCTCAGACAGCCCAGCTCCAATCCTCATTGTGTAGCCTTGAAAGAAAAAAAGCCACACTACCTTTTTAAGCCTTAGTTTCCTCATCTATAAAATGGGTGTGGCAGTGGTAGTAATGATCTTGGCTAACATGCCTGAAGTACTTACTCTGTAAGAGTCATATTGAGCAATACTTTCTGGATCCTATCACACGTAATGCCACCCTCAACCACCTTACTAAACTGGCACTAGTATTATGCCCACAATTGAAGAAACAGACTCAGAGGTTGAGTGACTTTCCCAGGATCACAAAGCTAGTAAATCAGTTTTGCCTGTCCCCAAGATCCCACGCTTTTCCCTCTGCACTATACTGTTGCTAATAATGGCACTTGCTCGTAACTCTAAGAATTAAAGGACTCCTCCCTATATCAAAACATCCAGTGCCAGTACCAATCACATACCAAGTGCTTAGCAATTATCTCACATCAGGAGACAGCGCCACTCCCTCAGTGAGGTCATTCACACTCTGGGCTTGGTGCATCTCAACAATTCACCCTGTCCATGGCTACCTGCGCGAAACTTAAAGCATCCCTTTGGTCCTGCCACTCTCCTGCTCTACAGTCATCAGTGGCTCTCCCAGGCCTACCACGTTAAGTTCAGGCTTCCCAGTCTTTCCCTCCATGTACCAGTCAAGTTTATATCTGCAATAGCATGGTCTCAGGATCTATCAGCCCTGAGTTCAAGTCCTGGCTCTGAACCAGCTAGCCATGTAACCCTGGGTAAGTGTTTACCTTTGGGTCTGAGTGTCTTCACCTATAAAATGGGAATGATGACTCCTCCCCAGCGCATGGGGTGGCTGTGAGAATGGGGTAAGTTGAGAGGAGTAAGACTCATCCATCCATGCCAGGCTTTGGCAGACTGGGGCTCCCATCCACGTCCCCAGTCCTACAGAACACAAGGACTCTGCCAGAAATGTAAGGGGACTCTCACTCTACTTCAGAAACTGGCACCTTCTGATCCACCAAAATGCTCATTTCAAATCTCCACAGTCCTCTGCAAACCAGCCTGTTCATTCGGAGCCCAGGGCGCCCGCATGATGAGGAAAAGGAGCTGACTTTCTGCACAGCAATGAAGCCATGCTTGGGAGAAAACCATCACAAACATCCTCCCTGGGCCTCATGCAGTCACCACTTTCATTTCTATTGGCATCTGAAACTTCAACTTCAAAAACCATTGTGGACCAAAGGTATCGGATACCCCTCGGAGGAACAGAAGCGAGGGCTTATTTGCAAAACATAATTGCATAATAAGGCACTGAAGAGGCTCACATTTAGCGTCGGGTTTTTCTGAGGTGATTTTATGGACGGGCAAGAGCTGGTGGGGAATCTGGCCACAATCCCAGGGCCTGGCATCCAATATGCCACATGGCCCAAAGCCCCTGAGCGTCCTCCCCACTACCTGCCTTGATGGTAGAGGCTGCCTCTCCTGCACTTATCTCTTCCCATGGCTCAGCCTGTACTTTTTGGATTCTACAGCTCAGTCTCTGACCACCTCTGGCACTCGGCATCCTTAGAATGTGCAGCTGGGGGAGAGGAACAGATTTCATACACCCACTTTGGTTCTGAAGCAAAAGCAG